TGTATGTGATCAACGCAGCTCAGGCCAGGGCGAAGCCATTTTGTTCTTCGCGGATGTGACACCCTGTCGACCAACTGAACCTGCGAAGGATCAATGACGTTAACAGCTTGGATGGAATGGAGATGAGACTAGTCCCTCGGTGATTGGAGCAATCGTAGTAGGGGCCCTTCTAGAAAATAGGTACGACTTCCGCCAAACTCCCTTCGAATGGAATGGATTCAGTATGACAGGTGGTTTGGAATAAGGAAGTTAGTTCTCAGACAAAACTTGCACCACCATCTTTGAAAAAGGCCGGAGGGAGCTTATCTAGGCCGGAAGATTTGGAGCGTTTCAGAAGTCTGAGCTCCCGTGGAACTTCTTCCTAGGTAGGCGATGAAATTTCCACAGACCGTGGAGCACTACAGACATTGGGAGATGAAGTGATGTCGATGGCCAACTGAATTGTTGATGAAAGTGCTCCGCCCAGCGCCCAAGCCGCCACTGCAGTTTGTGGATACATTCGCCATTAGTTTCGCATATGATTTCACTGACGCATGTCTTTTGTTATCGGTGGCTCGGATTAGTCGAAAAAGCAAAGGTTAGTTCCATCTCGGAAGTGCGTTGTGCCCACCAGGTCTCTCAGTCCCCTTTCAGGAACCGTTTCAGTTCAGCACAGAGTACTGTGAACTGTGGTGTATTCATTACGCGTTAGTAATCTGGAGGTAAGCCGTCCTGTGTTTGGGAGTTTATCAGGTATGGACCTGCTATCTCATCGAATCCGGATTAATCGGCTTCGTTGGTTACGACACAATGCGTTTGCCCAAGTATCGTGTGTTGCACCGCGCTTCATTCTCTGCAGCTGCTCCGGGCCAAAGGAACCCCCGTGGAGATCGAAAGATGATGTAGAGACGAGGCTTGAAGAAATGCACAGAGCCATTAGGTAGAGTAGGTGTCCCGCGCCTTCCAGGATGGGGTCCGAAGGACTCCACAACTGGTTGTTTGGAGACATTGAGGGATATGACAGCGAACCGACAGCAGTGGCGTTCTTGTTGTCATTTCTTTCTTATCCGGCCAGAGTGTTTGAAACGGTATATATGCAGAGTTCGGTTGTGTACTCTGTCTGTTGATTATAGAGGTTCACTTTGTTCCCCCTCCCTCAACATAGGTTCCATTCCTGTTCACTCAGGATTATTTTAATCCATTTTTTGGAACTCGTTTTGGTACTCAATAGTACTGTTGACCTCCCAGGGAATAACTGTCATTGAAAGTTGCTCTGGTTTTTGTTTTTCATTAGTTATGATGCTAGTGTCATGTGTTATTACTTTTATCTTATCTAATACTATTCACCCATCTTTCTGTTTTCTATCCATCTTCGGGCAATCAGTCGTATCATATTACCGATGACGGTAGAGGAATACAACGTCGCTCAGCTGTGGTCTGTGGCTGAGGTGTCGAAGAACGAAACTGGCGGCGGTGAAGGCATTGAGGTCCTAGTGAATGAACCGTTCGACTCAAATGTTCACCCCCCAGATCCACCGCTTAGCGTTCAGGGGCAGACATTCGAAACTGGCCAGTATACGCACAAACGTTTCTATCTGGCTAACAAGGTACCGGCTTATGTCCGGTTTCTCGCACCAAAAGGTTCTCTGGAAGTAGACGAACGAGCTTGGAATGCCTATCCCTACTGTCGTACAGTTATTGAAGTACGTTTCACATTTGGTGCGTATTGGAATGCTCTTTTCTCTGCATCTAGAATCCCCTTTATATGCAAGAGAATTTCCAACTGAAAATCGAGTCCATGTATGTGCAAGACAAAATCAATGAGGAGAATGTGAGTCGCTTGATGTCCACATGATGATAATGATTTGTAATATTCTATTTTACGCATCCCGTCTACAGTTTAAAAATATTCATACGTGCATTCTTTCAACCGTCTCTATCACACGAAACAGATCCACCAACTACCGCCGGAACTGCTTGAAATGCGCGAAGTGGTTTATATCGATATTGTGAATGATCCCCTGTACAGTCAAGCGGACTATGACCCAACTTGCGATTGTACCAAGTTTCAATCGGTTAAAACTGGTCGTGGTCCCCTTATCGGTCCGAAGTGGTGGGAGGTAACTGTCACTTTATTCGTCGACCGCTCACATTCGCTCCTTTTCAGAACACGGAAATGCCTATCATGTGCGCCTACAAATTGGTCACATGTGAATTCAAGTGGTGGGGTATACAAAATCGAGTGGAAACCATGCTGCACAACGTAAGACTACTTTCTTCATGTTTCACCGTCTCCTTTTGCGTTCATAGCAAGAGAGGCGAATCTTTCTCAACTTCCATCGTCAGCTGTTCTGCTGGATGGATAAATGGCATGGACTAACTATGGCGGATATTCGTGAATTGGAAGATAAGGCTAAGGAAGAATTGGACAAGGTAACTAACTAACTATTCACTTTTGATGTAGTATTTATGCGCTTTTTCTCCCGAGCAAGCCAGATAAATTAATTGCTTTATACCACGCAGAGGTGAATGAATATTCAGTTGACGGTAAAATGGGTGTGTTTAATTATCAGATTTTTGATGGCACAGAAGTGAATACAATAAAAGGGGTAGACCCCATAATCCAAGGATGTACATGAGAAGGTAAGAGGAACTAGTTCAGTTCAGTTCACTTCAGTTCATACAACCATTGACCATGCAATTTCGTGCGCCGGTTTTGGTTGCTGTCTTTTGGTGCCCCATTGCACGAGTCTGGTGGGGTAAGGGGAATCTCCAAGCTATAATCAGCTTGTTGCGTTTAAAGGCAAGAATGTTGTAAGTTGGAGGGAAGACTGAAAGGGGGAGAATGTTCCACAGTTGTGCTCGTCTGGTGGAAAAAGATGATGAAAAGTCAGGGGTGTGACACCTGGGGATAGCCACTTGAAATTAGTGGCTGGCCGGTTGTGTGCGGGACCTACGAGGAAGAACAAGTGTGAGGGACAGAAGCGGCAAGTTCGCTAAAGTGAAACCAGAAATTGTATCGATAGAGTAAGGTTGAAGAAGTAACTGCTCGACAGTGAGCTAGTGACTGCAAGTTACATGTTAGGGGTGTATCGTTGATGAGACTTGTGGCCTTACGTTGAACCCGTTCAAGAAGAGACAGAGATGGACGAAGCCCCATCCCAGATATGACTGCAGTATTTAATTTTAGGACGAGTCTGAGCGTTCTAAAAGGAAAGTAAGTGAATGCCAGTGAAGAAACGTCTATTGCAAACATACGTACAGCGTGGGAGTCAAGTAGACAAATGTATGATAACCATAAAAAGGAAGGAAATGAGGAAAGTCTTGATAAGTTGCTTGAATCTATGGAACGGAGAATGTTTGAGTCAAAATACAATAAACCATGCGTGTTTAAGAGAAATAAACATAAAGGAAATTTTACTAGCATTACGGAGAACACGGTTGCGACAGCCTCAAATAGAAATAAGGCCCATATCAGAATTTAGGGAGAAACTGAAGGAGGAGCGGTCATCGCTAATGCTGGAGTTAGCAATGTGTGAAGAGGGATAAGATGAAGAATAGTTTAGGTTGGCGTTAGTGTCAAAGGCGTAAATAGGGTTCGAAGTTGAAGAAAGAGGGTCATTAATGAATATCAGAAAAAGGGAAGGGGAAAGTACAGAACCTTAAGGGCCACCAGCATTCACAAGCACGGAGCAAGATATGGCCCCATATCTCCGAACGGAGATGCTGCGGTCCTTGAGAAAACTTTCTATCCAGGACACATGTTCCACAGGAAAGCCAAACTTGGGTAGTTTAACCAGCAGACCTGCCTGCCAGACACGATCGAAAGCTTTCGATACATCCAGTGACCTCATATGGGTTTCTCCGTGGTTTTCGAGTGCCATTGACCATGTATGCGAAATTAGCGCAAGAAGATCACTGGTAGATCGTTGGGACCGGAAACCGTACTGACGATCGCTAAGCATCTCCTGCTCAGGTGGCGGCGGAGTTGCTGAGCAATGAATGATTCCATAACTTTGGAAAAAACTGATACGGGAGGGATGGTGTGGCAGTTATTTGGGTCTGAGTGGTCACCGCATTTGGGAGTGGGAAATATTTCTGCTATCCTCTATGAGATTGGGAATATCTCGGAATCGAGGGACAGAGGGAATAAGTGGCGTGAGAGAGGGGTCAATTCTGTGATGCACAATTTGACGACGATAGGAGGAATCCCGTCGGGTCCAGTGATAAGAGAATCTAACGTATCTTTCTGGTGGAGATGAGTGGTATGGAAAGATGGTTCACTGTAGGATTGAATGTATGATTCATGTAGGGTAGAACTGCAAGCAAAATGCTAGGCAAACCGCCTTTCAAGCGGGTCGGACACTAAGTTGCCAAATGGTTCAAAAATGGGTGGGAAGTTAGTGGAACATAAGTTACGGAAGACTGCCTTAGCAAGTGATCAGAGCGTCTGGCTTCCAGAAGGAGCGATTGATAACTGTGCTGCTGCCTTCTGTATGAGGGTTGTACAGTTGTTGTGTGCTTGCATGAACCATTGGTGGGAGCAGGGGGAAAGTGAACGACGCTAACGGTGAAGCCCTGATTTCTTTTTACGAGCAGCGCGACAACAGTATGGGTCAAACCATTCCGCAGAAAGAAGCTTAACGAAGCGAAGGATAAATAGGTGCATACCTTGCGAAAGCACTTGGGAAAGTTTCGAAACCGAGATGGAGTCATTGGCGGAGAAGCAACAGGGGTAGAAAACCAAGAAAGGTACGAAAGCTGCGCCAATCAGCGGAACAGTATCGCTAGAATGTGCGCCTAGAATTGGGAGAAATAGTGGAACGGATAATTTGGGTAAAGGGCGAAACAAGACAATGACCCGATGAGCCCATGGGCGAACTACGACAATATTTGAAAATCATTATGGGTTTAATGTGAGGACAAGATTGAGGGTGTAATCGTGGTTGCCAGCACGGTCGGGCATACGGGTCGGGAAATCGACCAGTTGGTGAAAGTCGTTATTAGGGCAAATGATTTTGCTTCACGTCCAAGGGGCGAAATTAAGTACAACATTATGCAACTAACTTTATGTTGGTATTAGATTAAGGTAGCATGTCCAGGTGACGAAAAAACCGAGCAAGGTGCGATTTATATGTGAAGTTTCGTGTAGCTGGGTGCCGAAATTAGGAACGGGTACTCTGTCAATACACGTTTACCTAAATTGGTGTGCAAAAGATGAGTGAATTCGCTTTAGGTTTTTCTAGAGAAATATCATCCTTGGAGATGTTTGAAAGCTTTGGATTCGGAAAGTCGCTTCATCAGTTCGCGGGATCCAGATACCAGTTTAAGGGTTACAAATTCTCGCATGCACAGATCGTTATTCCAGGAAAATAGAAGTGAACAAAGATGTAAAGCGAACTTCGGAATTCTTCCCAGGAAAACCTGGGCTCTGACAAATTAGGAAACTGGTTAATAATAATATTCAATTACTTACCAGATATCTGTGAACTAGAAGATGCACCACAACTTTGCTGCATCTGGTTTCCCTCTGCAGCAGAAATGATGTTTGTACATTTCGAATTCATTGAAGAGTTGTATGCTACAGGTGATTTGAGTTAATAATCTGTATTTCAAAATAATACAGTCCGTGTATGACATCGTCGGTACATTGTATCCTTTGGGCAGCACAAAGAAACCATTTTAGATGATCACGACAAAAATAGAAATGACCACAATATAGCACCTCAAAGAATGCTAACAGAAGAAGTTGACTGAGCAGAATATTTTCTAGGAAACAGATAAACTACTGGATTTTCGTGCAATAATCTAGTAACAGTGGATTATAAAGAGGCAACTATCTGCATATACACGAAGAGGTACTTTTTGAGTGAGTTACCGAGCGAGGATGAAAGTTTCGGTGGGGTGTGGTTTGGCTCTTTGTCCCCACTCGGGTACGTTATGTCTATGACCGTTGATCGTGTGAATCTTAGGCGAGAATGAACTAACCCGATGGTAATTGGCCTCGGTCGGCGGAATAAGGAAGCGAATCACGTCAAAATGGATCGATAAATCGGTTATCGTACCTAGGCGCGAATGTTAGAATGAATCATTGCGTGAGTCTGTGAAATACTTCAGCGAACATTTGATCTGGCCTGGCGCTAATCAGATTGCCCAATCTGCAGTTGAAGCTCCATGGACAGTGTCGTGCGATCTTCCGGCAGAGTAGGAAGTTCCATCTTGCATTCAATCTCTGAAAGGAGGAAAGACGGCAAGATCGGAGGGGCTTCTTTCTTCCCTATTTAAGATGGGAGTGGATAACATGGTTGGCTCTGTTACTGACAAGATATTGTCGAAGGAGCACATTCCATCATCTTAGGGCGAATCACTGATTACTTATTTTGAAACAAGGATCTTGTGATGATTACGAAAGCCACTGCGGGAAAGGTTTGATCCCAATCTTCATCAAAATGTTAACCTCCGTTATACTTCGACCTCTGACTGCTTTAGGGGAGATCAACCTTGGTGAACGGCAAGCCGGGTTCCGGCCGGACGTAGATGTGTTGATCAAGTTTTATGTCGTGTCAGGTCCTTGAATTGCGGCAGACCCACGGTCGACCATCGATCGCAGTGTTCCTTGGCCAGAGAGAAGCCTTCGACTCAGTTGACCGCGAAGCTGTAATGGATTCACTTCTTCGAAAGTACGGTAATTTACTGAGAAAAATGTACTCGCATACTATTCGGATGAGGGTTCACAGCGAACCAAATAGATGATTCGTCACCAGCCGCGGCATTCACTATAGGTGTCCTAATTAATCATTCCTGTTCAATTTCGTTATAGACGAAGTACTGGAAAACACATTTATTGGTTTCCAAAATGTAGGTATTGAATGGATTTTTGGAGAAAAGCTGTGCTATTTAAAGTACGCCGATGACATCTTCTATCTGTTCGGACGTATGGAGGAAACACAAAGCGCTCTTGACAAACTGTCAAGTTATGTTACCACATTCGGTATGTGCTTTGCATCATCAAAGTGAAGCGTAATGATGCAAGACTGGGTGTCGTCTATTTCCGCTTTGAAACTAATTTGCCAGGAATTAGGTAGTTGTGTGATCAATGACGGTAGCGCAACAAAGGAGATAACCACCGTCATTTTCAAGGCTCGAGCAGCNTGACGTAGACGTGACGTTTCACTGAATTTGAAAGATCGTTCATATTGTGCTTACATTCGTTCATATCTGCTTTATGGTTGTGAGATCTTGAATTTGTGAGTAGACAATATGCATCAACTAGAAATGGGATGGAGCGAACGGGTTAGTATTCTGGAGGTAAGCCGTCCTGTGTTTGGGAGTTTATCAGGTATGGACCTGCTATCTCATCGAATCCGGATTAATCGGCTTCGTTGGTTACGACACAATGCGTTTGCCCAAGTATCGTGTGTTGCACCGCGCTTCATTCTCTGCAG